GTTCGTTTGGTGAACGGCTCCAAATTTTCTTCAACGGAGAGTCTCCAGACTGATTAGCGAGTGAAATCTTGAAAGCTTGCGAGATCAGGATGGTCTCATGAGGCTACTTTGGGTTGGCCTTGGTGGATCATTTCCCACAGAGGCAGCTGCATTTTATGTCTGCTGGTTGGTCTGTGGCAGCTATCAGCTAAAAGAGAAGGTTGGCCTCGCTCTCTTTAGGATGGCAAGATGGGAAACGGCATATTTTCCGAGCGATCTGTAAATCCTATTATTGTTCCACAATGGCGAAATTCACGTTCTGCATTTAACCGATCCCCCTGGGGAGCAGTGGGCTGCCATTGTGTGGCAACCGGGGAAGCTGTTAGGGTTTAAGGGTCTTGCTCAGGGACCCAGAGTGCAGGCTGTGGGGATTGACCTGGGTGCTTGCATCCTTTTCAGAGCTCAAGAGCACCGCTCTAACCACTAGGCCAACATTCCCCTCAGATGGATTATGTTATTTTGGCATCATCATCAATTCACTTCATCACCAGCTACAAAAATGTCCCTTTTTTCTTAAAGATCATAAAATCAAATAGTGAACCTGTTGTATTGACTATAAATCATATAAAGAATTTGGAGTTTTATAAACACTTATTTACATGTAGGATGAGGAAAAAAGTCTTTTTCAATCTTATTTCAAATAAAAACTAAAAACACATTCAGAGTTTAACCCTTTAATGCCCGATCCAGGAAAAAAACAAAATAGAAAGTTACTTTTTTTTGGTTTGAAGTCCTTATTTGCCCTTTTAACAAAATATGTAAAAAGAAAAAACATAAATACGTTTTTGATATTAATAATTTATTACTATGCGATAAGTCAAAATAATTTTTTGTGTAGTCTTCTGCCCTCTGTTATCAGGTATATTTGATTGTGTACAATAGGATTTCAAGCAAAGTTTTTACCATTAAATTATGCAAAAGATGTCAGACGCAAAACATTTCAGAAACCGTATGTATCAAATATGATACATTTGGCATTACAGGGTTATGGATCATTAAAATGAGCCATTTCATAATTTAACTATGTAATTAAAGCTTTAATTTGTAAAAAAACAAACAAATCTATATTCATGTTTTTATTGAATGTAGAGAAAACTAAGTGGTTCTGCTGTAAATCCATTATTCTGAAGGTGAGGGACGCTGTTTATGTCACACCTTTGGTTTTTATGTTGTTATTAAACAACTGAAAACTCTTTTTTTGTGCGTCTCTCAGCTTAGCGACGTGCTGCTCTACACCACGCCTGTTCAGTCAGGCCAGTTCAAGCTGAAAAACATGCTGTCTCTGTCCGGGATGAAGGTGAGAGTCTTTTTATGTTCATAATATCACAAGTTTGTCTTTTTTGGTGCCGTCATTCACAATGATAATGATCACAGGTTAGCAAACCCAGTCAAGAGGCCTATCAGAATGAGCTGAACATAGAAAGTGTGGAGCGCTCCTTTATTCTGTCTGCCAGGTAAGTTAGGAACACGCTTTCTTCTAATCACACTAATAACATCTCTGTCAGCATCACGTTTAGTTTCTTTTCTCTCTCTAAAGTTCGGCTGCAGAGCGGGATGAATGGCTTACAACAATTTCCTCGGCTATCAGCGAATATACGAAAAGGAAAATAAGTTTTATGTCCACCAACACTCCAGCTCAGGGAAGAACATCTACCGGGGTACATTTTTCTGTTTTATGAACTTTTATTGTCTTTCAGCAGTGAGTTGTATTTATTTTCATACAATATTTTAATTTATTTCTATCCAGGGACATTTGGCGGATCAAGTTGATGGAGAGCCGTTGGGA